ACGACGACGCCGAGAGACGACGAGAGACGACGAGAGACGACGATGCCGACGACGACGACAAGAGACGACGACGACGGCGACTACGACGGCGACGGTGGCGGCGACAGCGATGGCGACGGTGACGGCGAGAGACGGCGACGACGACGACGACGACGACGACGGCGACGACGACGGTGACGACGAGACACGACGACGACGAGAAAGACAAAGACGACAAAGACGACATAGACGACGACGACGACGACGACGGCGACGACGACGACGACGACGACGACGACGACGACGACGACGACGACGACGACGACGACGACGGCGGCGGCGGCGGTGGCGGCGGCGGCGGCGGCGACGGCGACGGCGACGGCTACGGCTCGACGGCTCGACGGCTCGACGGCGACGGCGACGGCGACAGCGACGGCGACGACGACTGCGACGGCGACGGCGACGGCGACGGCGACGGCGACGGTGATGGCGACGGCAACGGTGGCGATGGGCCCTGGACGCCGAGTGGCCTGCAGGCCCCATCTCCATCTCCATCTCAGGAGGTGCGTCTGACGCCACCATAATAAGAGTCCCCACAGGTCCCAGGACAATGCCCAGAGAACCCCCGGACACCCTGGACACCCCAGACACCCCAGACACCCCGGACACGCCGGACACGCGGGACACCCCGAACACCCCGATCACCCCGGGCATGTCAGACAATTCGATCATCAATATTACTACCATAAATGTTCCTCTTCCTCATGGCCACCACCATCAACAGCATCAGCAGCATAATCACTATCCTCATCCTGCTTCCTCCTCCTCTTCATCATCCTCTCCCCCTTCTCATTCCCATCTCTCCTCATCCTGTCCCTTCCTCATTTTCCTCTCCTCCTCCAGTTGTTTCCTCCTCTCTTTGAATGCCAAAACAGCAGGCTCTCAGAGCCTGGTTTGACATCTTCTGGCGATTTCGGTGTGTACGAAGGAGTCCCAGAATATAACCAGACACAGTGTATCTTTGCATTCAACAGGTGCGCGTGGTGTTTTCGCACAGTCGGAAACAGAGGTGTCGTTCGTGACAGCGTCGGCCTGCCCCGTGTGGATGGTGGTGGCAGGTCCTGGACAGGATAGCCAACCACACGCCGAAACGCTGGAGACGGAGTGGACCAGGGGTGCCCGAAAGAGTGGGCATACTCAGTCCTAGACCAGAAAGGAGACCAAAGGAGGTTACGCAGTCAACTGCTTCTCGGCGACCCTGGCGCGGCATAGCCGTTGCCAGGCGAGCCTGAGGCGGGTGTACAAATACTGCCTTGTATATTGCACTAATATGGACATGCTTGGCAAATCACTGGTTATCAGCCGATAGTCTCTCCAGGAGCTCGTCTTCGGTGGGGCGGCCTTTTTCCCAACAGTCAGTGGGGTAGCAGTGGTGGCTTTACCGAAAAGGGGGCTTCGCAGGTGCGTTCAGATCATCCACGAGCGCCTAACGCAGGGGCCGGGTGGCTCAGGCCCCTGGGCCGTGGTTAGTGTCCGCTCAAGGACAAGGGGGCAATCGCCCGGCTTAGCTGCGGTTGCCGGTGGTGCCACGAAAGAGGGGCAGTTGTTTCTTCCCTTCTTCGAAGGCCAAAACAGCAGGTTCTCAGAGCCTGGCTTGACATCTTCTGGCAATTTTGGTGTGTACGAAGGAGTCCCAGAATACAACCAGACACAGTGTATCTTTGCATTCAAGAGGTACGCGTGGTGCTTTCGCACAGTCGGAAACAGAGGTGTCGTTCGTGACAGCGTCGGCCTGCCCCGTGTGGTTGGTTGTGGCAGGTCCTCAAGAGGATAGCCAACCACACGCCGAAACGCCGGCGACGGAGTGGACCAGGGGTGCCCGAAAGAGTGGGCATACTCAGTCCGAGACCAGAAAGGAGACCAAAGGAGGTTACGCAGTCAACTGCTTCTCGGCGACCATGGCGCGGCATAGCCGTTGCCAGGCGAGCCTGAGGCGGGTGTACAAATACTGCCTTGTATATTGCACTAATATGGACATGCTTGGCAAATGACTCCTCCACTTCCTCCTTTCACGCTCGTCCTCTCATTATTTTCCTTCTTCTCCTCCTCCCCCTCCTCCTCTCTCCTCCTCACCTTCTCGCCTCCCTCAGCCCTGCCCATATTCTCACCCCCTTCCTCTTCCCGCTCTTCCCTCCTCTTTTTCTTTCTCTCTCTCTCTCTCTCTTTCTCCCCCCCTCTCTCTATCATCCTCATGACCGCCATCATCAATAGCATCAGCAGCATCATCAGTACTCTCATGATCAATCCTGCTTCCTCCTCCTCGTCATCATCATCCTTTCCCCTTCTCATATTCATCTCTCCTCATCATGCCATTTCCTCCTTTTCCTCTCCTCGTCCTTTTCCTCCATGTCCTCTCCTCCTCTTATTCATTTCCTTCTTCTCCTCATCATCACCCTCGTCTTCTTGATTCGCCTCCTCCTCCTTCCTCACCTTCTCGCTTCCCTCAGCCCTACTAGTCTTCTCCTCCATAGTATCACCCCTTTCCTCCTCCCGCTCTTCCCTCCTTTTTTCTTTCTCTCTCCCTATCTCTTTCTCCCTCTCCTTCCACTCTCTCGTCGATAGGGCGTGGCAGG